GAAAGGGTAAAGTTGACCCTTGCGCAGAAAAGTGCCACTTTTCTTTATATTTTTATGTTTTTTACCTTGCCCATTTCTCTAAACTGGAACTTTTGTGTTACGTGCCAACAAAATGTGCAGCGTTTTAGATTTTAAAGTTTACTGTTAGAGCTGGTGAGAACAAAATAATGAAATGCTGCACGTGTGCCCAGAAAGTTCTTTCGCGCTTATCTTGTCTCCTAATGAAATGTTTCATTAACTTCATTTTTTTTATAACTCGTCTCAGTAATTTACACATCCAGGTATAACAATGAATGATGCCAACTTGGAGTGGATACAACTATTGATTAGTAATTGACTGTCCAACTCATGGTAGTCCTACATTTCTGCTCTGCTCTTTCGAGAAAGATGCCACTTGTTATATGTGCACTTTTACCCCGGGCAACGGGCCAAAATCTCAAGTGCAGAAAAGACAAATTTCAAACCGTTCACCACCTACCGCCCAGGTGAAATAAACAGAGAGAATCTTAACACAAACTTTGAAAGCCTGATTTGAACAATTTTCTCATCTGATTAGACAAAAATGTAACAGAAAGATAAAATATTTTATTTTGATCACGAAAGGCAGTGCACATTTTGCCCTCAGACGTCATTCAAAAAACTGTAGCATGTTGAGCTCGTAATTCTATGATATTTTCCTAGTCATCACATTGAAGGTGCAACAAACAGGTGAAAATATCAAATATGAATGTTTTCATTGCGAAAGTGGAATCTAATCTACAGGTGCTTTGCCAAATATATGCCTTAATGCCAGTACTCTATCTGAAAATGGGGAGGGGGGGGGCGCTTATTTTATATGTTTATTCATATTTTAATTTTTTTTTTTGTCTTGAGTCAATAAAATCACATCTATAGAATAACAGTCATTTTATCCGACTTGAGGTTTGGGGGTTTTTTCGTTGGTTTGTTTTTGGTTTTTTTGTTTGTTTTTTGGTTGGAGTTTATTTTTAGAAAAAAGGAGTATATCGGTGAATTCATTATTGGTCAACGGTGCCAAGAAAAGCTAGATTTATAGACAGAAACATTTTTTTTTCCTTTAGAAAATTATATATTTCTCTGAAACGAGTAGCAATAAAGCAGTTTGTTGTTCGCAGCCTCCTGCTTCACCGCGTTGTTTTGTCTCTTCCCGTCCACTAATCGCGATGTCCATTTATCTGTCTGTCGACTCTGTCGGTCCGTGTGTAGAGACAGATGATGGGTGGTTGGCGGGTGCTCTGGTGTGGTTTGCTCCTTCTTTCCTTTGAAACACCTATCGTCCTTATCTCCCCTTCTTCTTTTTT